GAAGTTAATGTTCCTAATAAAATACAATATACTCAAAGAGATGTAGAAGAATTTCTAGTAGAATGTGGAGATTTGCTCAGTAAAAATATCATTCGAGAAAGTAAAAGTCCGCATAGTGCCACGACATTCTATGTAGAAAATAATAATAAAATTAAAAGGGAAAAAAGACGTATGGTAATAAATTACAAAAAACTCAATGAACACACTATAGGAGACAGTTACAAATTACCAAGAAACGATTATATATTGGAAAGATTGAAAGGACAAACTTGGTTCAGTAGTTTAGACGCCAAATCGGGATATTGGAAATTAAGGCTTCATGAAAATACAAAACCCTTAACAGCTTTTTCATGTCCATCACAAAAATATTATGAATGGAATGTATTACCATTTGGAATCAAACAAGCCCCAGGAATTTATCAAAGATTTATGGACAAAAATCTAGAAGGATTAGAAGATTTTTGCTTAGCATACATTGATGATATTATTATATTTTCAAATAGAGATAGAGCAGACCATGAAGAAAAACAAATAAAAGTTTAGAAAGGTTAAAAGAAAAAGGACTGATAATTTCAAAAAAGAAATCTAAATTGTTAGTCAATGAAATTGAATATTTGGGAATGAAAATAAATAGTACAGGAGAAGTAGAACTGACCACTAATGTTAAAGAAAAATTAGATAAATTCCCCAGATAAGATGGAAAATAGAAAACAAATACAACGATTTTTAGGAAGTCTGAATTATATCAGTGAACAAGGATTTCTAAAAAATTTAGCAAAGGAAAGAAAATACCTTCAGCAAAAAATATCAGATAAAATACCTTGGAAATGGGATGATAACGATACAGAGGTAGTAAAATTTATGAAGGTCAGTTGTGTTCATTTACCAAAATTATATAACCCATGCGATCGAGATTTTCTTATTGTAGAGACAGATGCTTCATGAGATACATGGGCAGGTTGCATGCTTGCCATACAAGAAGGCAAAAAATTACTATCACTTGATCACTATGGCAATATACTCAGCAATGAATCGAATGATTCACCCTATATCAGTAATGAATCGAACGATTCACCACTATCTCAACGCAGTAATGAATCGAATGATTCAAAACAATATGATTATACAACACCATTCAATACAGACAAATATCCAAAGAAGTTATGTAAATACATATCTGGAACATTCTCTCCTACTGAGAGAAACTATCCAATACATGAATTAGAGACACTAGCCTGTCTCAGAACACTGAAAAAATGGAAACTAGAATTACTGACCATTCGATTCGAACTACGAACCGACTCTAAATATGTTACAGGATTTTGGAGATACAAGCTGGATGCATACTTCAATAAAGGAAGACTCATTCGCTGGCAACAACAACTTCACTATTATCGACCATATCTGAAGTATATAAAGTCAACAGCAAATCCACTAGCAAACACCCTTACAAGAGAATGGAAGGGATAATCAAACAAATGCAGCACCAGCAATAGCAGAAAGAAGAATAGATACGTGCCCTCGAAGTCCAACTTTCTCAGAGGCGGGGGAATTGAAGCAAATAAGAACCACCATCACTATTCTGCAAGCACAAACAAGCACTACTCAACCTGGTATGCAACAACAAACTATTCAGCCAGCATTTACAGAAAAAAGTACACAACCAGAAAAGGATATACCATCATTATCTACAAGATGGTCAGACATGGTGGAAGAAGACGAGAAATACGAAGAAGACGAAAGAAATCAAAGAAAGGAAAATGGTACATCATTTACGACGGACCTTTTCGAGGACTCTATAATAACTGGGCAATAGTATCTCACCATGTTACGGGATACAACACCAAACACCAATCATTTCCAACCAAAGAGGAAGCAGAGCAGGCATTAAAAGAATCATGCAAAGCAATTGTTATGAAACAGAAGACAGAGTCAGTCACTCCACAAAAGAGATTAGTGATGAAGATACCAAGCATCAGCATTAAGGATATTCCAACTACGAAGCAGAAGGAAGAAGCTAATAGACCTACACTTCAAAAATTTCAACAACGCTGGGAAGATCTTCTCAATTACAAGGAAATTCACACTACCATGCGATACTACCCTACCTTCACGGGATGACCAATATAGTCACCATCACATATAAAATTGCACCAACAACACTGTTTGCTCTCCATCAATACGGATTGGTCGATACCATATACACACAGAAGACCCATATCTTCGACGGATTCCCAACAAAGTTCAAGACAGTCGTAAAATGGTATCTAGACTCTTTTGCCAACGGTAGAGAAATCTATCTACGGTACATATCCAGCTATCCAACATTCAACAAAGAAGAATTGATCGTTCCATCAAAAGCAATCATCAAAATGGGAGTATCTAATGGTAACTATCCAACCATAGATGAATTGGAAATAGCCAGGATACCAGAAGACTATCAAGTCAGATCATTATATGCACTGAGTCAGGCCCTATATTATCTTAACCCAACAGATAATATTAAGGTCAATTATACCACCACCAACAAGATCATCATTAGTAATTCTAATAATCAGATTACAGCAGAAGAATGGGGATTCATCACAGATCTAGCCAAGGACTTCATTAATCTAGAAGGAACGTTAGCCCCACTAACGATAGAACAAAAGCAGCAACTTTGTGAATTATTGCGGTTACACGAGGATCACATATGTACCCACTGTGCAGCAGACATGACCACCTCCACTAGCAGCAATAATGGAGTAAATGAAGAGTAATCCATTAACGGGTGGACAACTTATCTATCAGACTACTACACCCCCCAAGAAGAAAAAGACAAATGATGATAATGCATCTGGAAAAAGAAAACAACACTAGAAGGAAACAAGAATGACTCATCGAGAAACAAAAGAAAGGTCAACATCAAAAAGAAAAAGACTAAAGATTCTTCATTTCTCCCATTATGATCAATAATGTAAGAATGTGATTGCTTTGTTTGCTCTTTTTAATGGAGAGTGATGTAAGTACTTATGTAAGCAGGCAAAGCCTTGCGCGGCTGCGCCTATAAATATGTAAGTCTGAACCTCATAAGAGGCAGAGTAGAATAAAAGTTTGAGATTTCTCTCTCAAAAGACTTAAGTGTAGTCTTGGTGCTTCAGCACAGAGCGGTTGAGGTAATACTCTGGAGTCGCTCGTATCCACTATTACCTATCCATAAAAGCCATACACCAACCATTAATATCACAAAGAATTCTCCAAACACCATCTCAATGATCAACCAGTAATCAGCCTCCTTCGCACTACACCACCATGGAGACCTTCAACAACAAGAAGTTGCATCATTCAACCCAAGCAACAATCAGGTATGTCAGGTAACCCCAGTAGCAGTAATAGTTACTTTGATTATCTAAGTAAAAATGAAGAAGAAAATTATTTTTTAGAAGGAATATTAGATGTTAAGAAAATCAAGGAACAAACCAATTTTACCTTATGAGAAACACAAAATTTTATTACTAAGTCATTTTTATCCAAATTATTTGATAGGAAAAATATAATTAAATATGGAAAAATGATAGGAGAAACGACAATACCAATAGAGCAGACTAAGGGAGATTTCCTAATTCAAATAATAAATAGAGAACAAATTAGAAAAAAAAATTATCCAAGTTACAACAGGAAGAAAGAAGTAAAATATATTACATACACATTAGCACAATTCAAATCATTCTAAAATCTACTATGAAAACAGGAATAAGTGCACCTATAGAACTAGAAATAAGAGATGATCGACTTATTAATAGAGAAGAGAGTATTATTGCAAAAGGAAAAGGAAATCTGGGAGTAGGAATAATCAAATTCGATATTAATTTACAACAAGGATTAAGTTTAACAGATGGGAATCTCGACTCTTCCATTATTATAAAATATGAGCTGAAAAGAAAAAATTTCATGAAAGAAAACAGTAAACCTTTTTCAGTAACATATCAGATAAACTATGCATTAACCAATAGTCATCATAGTCTAGCATTTAAGGATAAGGAAGCCATCACCATAGAAGATTTATTCAAACCATTAATTCAACTAGAATCCCCTATAAAAGTAATAAAATCAAATTATGACTATCCAAGAATAAGTATAGATGGAAGAAGCTCTTCCATGAGGCTAACTGATAAGCAGAAGGAAAAGGAAAAAGAAGAAAAAGAAATAAAAACATAACTGTACTTCATCAAAATGATAATACTAGTGAAATAAAAAAGTTACAAGAACTAATCGTAGAAATGAGCGAAAATTGTAAAGATGCCTAGCACTCATTACATAAATAAATTAATAGAAGGAATAGATGTGATAGACCTTACATCCGTAATCAACATTAATATAGTTACATTAGAATTATCTCACTTTGTATCAGATATTGTAGAAGAACATATGTGTGTCGGAAATTCAGAAACATTGGAAGAAGTCGTATCTAAAACTGAATTAATTACCGATATAATAACCAGTTTAAACAAAATAAAACAGAAACTAGAAAATAGATAAAACGAAGTACATCAAAATAACTTTGAAAATAGAACCAATACTCATAAAAGAAAATGAACGGATGAAAATATTGAAAATGACATTTTTGGGCCACCATGGTTTGGATCATTTCATGAGAGGAACCTTGAAAATGAAACCTAGCAGAATAGGAAACGTTGAATCTAAAATTTTGATATCACATCTAACAACATATCACATCATGAGACTTTTTATAAAATTGCATATCACATCATGACAAATTTTGGTATCAGAGCCTTCAAAGCAAGCCCATCAAATGAAAGAGACTAATCTATTTAAAAATATTATAACAACTAGCCAAACGAAATATTACGAAAAAGTGTCCCAACGAGCTTCGCAAGCTCGGCTCGTTAGCAGCCCTATTTGCCACCCATGTCTTTATTATTTGTCGCCCGTGTATTAAATTAAAATTACATTTTTGCCCTCCACATTTTCTTTATATTCTATTCCTATGAAATCTTTTTTTACCAATCAAACCCTCTTATCCTCACACCATCACCCAATCCGACCATCGGAGCAATGACCGACACAGACGGCGGAGAACCACCACCATCGGAGAGAGAAATCGTCGGCGAGCTAACCACCATGGCGTCAAACCACATCACCGGGCCAGGAGGCGGACGACATCGATAATCACCTTGACCTTCCGTCTTTTCAGCTCCGCCCGCTCGCCAGCGTCGGACATCTATTATCATTGGCCGACCCCGTCTGACCGGACCAGGAGAAGATGCTTTATCCGGAGGGCCATAGTGAGATGAAGAAATTCAGTTAGGAGGATAAAGAATCTCTCAAGCAGAGGATAGATGCTGGGATATCTCTGGCGAAACAGAAGCATAGAATGAACATGCAAAAGGGTGATAAAGGGCATCACACCAACATGCAATTTTATAACCTCGGGTCCAAGTCTAAGAGAGACGACATGGGTGACATGAATGAAGTCCAATATGCGTTTACAAGTAGCTGAACGTGAGAATTATCATATAGAGGTTATGAAAGACGATAACGACTTGCTAACCCATCTTTTTTGGCCCATCCGACTTCCATCCAGATGTTGAAGGCTTGGCCGTACGTGATTCTGATTGACCCAACCTATAAGATCAATGCGTATAAAATGTTGTGGGTGGAGGTAGTAGGTGCTACTCCCGTTGGGAAGAATTTCAACATATGTTGTGCTCTCATGAAGGAGGAGACAAAAGAGGCGCATCATTGCATCATTGGTTGTTGGTGCGCATAAAACAATTGCTCGATCCACTCGTGCCCACTGCCATCATCACCGACCATGAAGGTCGACTACTTGCTACAGTTTTTTGTGTCTTCCCCTACACCCCTTATTTTTTTATGTGTTTGGCACATCAACACTAATATGCAGGCGAAGTTTCTGGAAATATTAGGGAAGGACAATATGGATTTGGTCAATGAGGCTTACAATGAAAGTTGGTGTCCTTTGCTTTTTTATTGGTCTGGGCAAGGTATGTTGGCCGCGTTTGGCCGCTTTAGGGCGAGAAGGAGCGATGAGGATCCACGTCTATTGCACTACATGCAGCGAGCGTGGTGGCCGCATCGAGAGAAGTGGGCAGTTTGTCATACCAAACAAGTGTTTCATATAGGAAATACGAACACAAACGGGGTTGAGTCATCACATTCATCATTGAAAACTTTCCTTCACAACTCACAGGAGTCTATAGACACTGTATGGAAAGGAAACCACCGCTATATTACTAACCTACTCAGGGAGGTTAGGATGATGTTGGAAAAATCTCGACAGAAAACCCTTTCAGCAGCTGATGGTACACCCTTCACATACTTGAGGAGGAAGGTCAGTACACATGCAATTTTTACTAATGAAGGAGGTTGAAGAAAATTTGGCTACCCATTTGGAAAAAAATGAGAACTCTCGATGTGCATGTCATTTCTCTGTGACACATGACTTAAAATGTGGATGTCAGGTTATGGATTGTAGGGTGCGAGACATAGAGATATACCCGGGTGATCATCATCTATTTTGGAAGACACTAGCGTACGAGCACCCACCCAATGCACATGAGTACGTGCCCCACGAGGATGAAGTTAAACGTCACCTTTACGAGTTGGCTGATGAGGCTGTACGTAGAGGGCCAGAGGCAACGCAAAAAGCAGCAAAGAATGTGTATCGCGGACTCCACACAGCGAAAGACAATATTCACGAACCAGAAGTGAACGCAACTAGGAGGGGACGACCAAGCAAAAAATCAACTGGAAGATTTAAAGGTTGGTTTGAGAAGATACTGCGTGGTAAGAAGAAAAACATGAAAAACAAGTCGGGGAGCACAATGTTGGGGTCTACAAGGTAAACGAAGACCAAGTCCACGGGGACTCAGTCAGACGAGAACCCGTTAGACGGTCAGGCATTTGATGATTATGATGATCCCGAAGACAACAAAAAGTACAACGGTCCTGATATATGTACACAAAAGCAAACCATAAGTGTTGTTATTTATCTGATGTTATGTTGAATTTCTGCTGATTTTCTATCCATGATGCAAATATCCCTGAATCCAGCAGCCAATTCGAACACGCACACTTGCATTTGCTTCCTGTCTTCGTTTGGGACCTTTTCATTGTCGTCCACGACCACGTGTCAGATGGTCATTGTGGGTTCCGTGCACTTAGTTTTGCATTATATGATAATCAAGATGGGTTCCCAGAGGTGAGGTGACTCATCGCTGAAGAAATCTGTCAACACGATTGGCGATACGCTAACATGTATGGCGTGGATGTGGTTGCGGCAATCACTCGCATCGACATCACTACTACAAAGGCAACAACCAGACATCTCTAGATGATGTGTGTGGATCTATTCGTGTTTGTCACGATCTTTAACTTGGTTGTTGTCATGTACTGCAATATCCTCCACCCCACGCCATCTACGTACAATTGTACCATCCTGCTAGTGGACAACCTATTTGGGGCAACCGGTCCTAGAGGAGTATTTATTGTGGGAGGGTGGCAGGCAAGATAGTGTCATTGGATGTGATACATATTTCCAGCATTTTAGTCAACTGCGGTTAGATCTTGGGGGTGGTCAGTCAAGCGGTCCATGGTGCAAATCTAAGAGGGTCCCAAAAAAATAAACTTGTAATCAAGAGAGAGCCCGATGTACCATGATTAAATAATAAAAACATCCAGTTATCTCAGGTTGCTTACGTCAAAAGAAAACATGTTGTTTTTACTACATAATATAATAAAAACATCCCAAGTACAACAAAAACACATAAGTCATAGTCAGATACATGGAATAATAAAAGTAGTAGGAGAACAAGAGAATAACATAAGTCATAGTCAAATGTATAAAAAACAAAAAACGACACTCATAAATAATCACATAACAAACATCAAACTACTGTGGAGGTGGTAGAAAACCCGACCTCCCCCTGTACTCGGACCACATGTTTCGAACTCCATGACATAAGTCATAGTACCCGTCGGACCTAGCATGCCACTCCTCCCTGCTACTCATAGCACCATCCATCACGGGAGCTATCTCCATCCACATCTCGCTTCCCAACGGTAGGAAAAAACCAGACAATTTATATATATATATATATATATATATTAGTTGCAATCAAACATAATTTTACTTCATACAAAAATTTCAAATATGGTTGTACTAACGGCATCAGCTTCACGAACTCACGAAGAGGTAGGCTATCACTCAGTATCTGTGGGTGCGAGTGCCTAAGGTACCACTCCAGGTAGTCATCAGTAACCTCCTATGGCCTACGTCGTACCAGAGTACAAAAAATTCCAGATGCACACAATGTCCCCTAGGTTGTTCCACCATGAATCATAAACAGAGTGGTAGCTAACATAGTATCCAATCATGGAAGCAAGTCGACTCACAACAAGTGGGCACTCTGAGGTGAGATACCGCGCCACCTGAGTGCCCCTGCCTCCCCCTACTCCAATTGTCGTGGCTCCAATCGACTAGGCCTCAAGGTAGAAAAGTGGTCGTAAATCCAACACTGTAGTAAAGTCAGACAACCCGCCACTCCCTTAGCCTCTGCCCGCGAGGCAATACCAAGCTGCTTGTACAGATAGGCAATTTCTTCAGCCTCTTCACAAACAAGTTGATAACAGAAGAAATGCGGTCCTTACTCTTATCTACGAATAGTATGGACCCCAGCAGCAGAAGAAGGCAACACCGAGCCTCTCCAACTTGCACCCCTTAGCCTAATTCCGCACCCCATCACACCCAATAGTGCTCGCATGTCATCCTCTGGTGACATCTTCTCCAACTGTCTCAGATCCGCTGCCATCGTCTCTCCCTCAACCGAAATGCCAAGGATGTGAACCATGTCGTGAAGGAGGATTGTCATCTCTCCAAACGGCATGTGGAAGGTGTTAGTATCCAGTTGTCAATATGAGAGCAGTGTCCAGCTCGTTCTGAAAGGTGATATCTAAGAGGTGAGCAAGGCCTGATATCTCTACGGTACTCCTAACATGAGAATCTGAGATCACGTGATGTAGTAGAACGTGCTCAAGCGTCAAAATCATATCGTAGCAAATGATCACCCCTCTATAAGCTTGTCCCGTGTATATACGGTGGGCAACATGCCCAAGAAAGCTAGGAGCAAACTCGGATCACTCGACCCTCTGGCACACGGTCCTATAAGTTCCTACTCCTCTCCCACATCAGCATCACCCCTCTGACCCTCACCCGCCTGTGGAGCTCTATAGAAACGCCCCGCATGGTCTCTATAAATCCCAGTAACACCATGTGATGATCGGCTGATGGCACCTCTATGATATCTCTGATCAGACTGCCCCGTGGAATGTGATCCTCAACAACATCCACCTCATACTGCTCAAACTCGTCGTCAATCTTGTCCGAAGGCTTCAACGATGAAGTATGTTGATCCCTCGTCCCAAAGTTGTGACTGGAAAGACTTCCACTACCAACCATACTAGGCAACTTAAAATCAAAATGAGGAAACCCAACTGCCCTCAATCTCATCGGTGGCTCTAGCTGATGTGGATGTGGCTCATACTCAGGCTCTGACTGCTCCCCCGACCTATCTCTATGCTTTGACTTCTTATTTCTCTTACTCATACTAATGTTACGCCCATTAAATCTAGTCAATTTCTTTCCTGTTCCTCCAGCATCACCAGTTGACGCCATCTCTAAATATAGTAAATAATTATATATTAATATCTTATTATAGACTAATGTGTTCACATTTTTTTTATTATAGACTAATTATGACACATACAACTTATTAACTAATTAATTTAGTTAGATAGTTATTTTATTAAATATGATAGATAGTTATTTAACTAATTGTTTCAAATTAATAAATTACTTAAGTAAAATAGGATAGATAGTTATTTAACTACATTAATTAACTAACAATTATTTAGACCTTATTTAATTCAATATGATAGATAATTATTTAACTAACACATTATATAATTAACAATTATATACTCATTATTCAACTAACACTATATACTAACAATTGAATTTCTATAATTTCTTCACAATGTTATATCTTTTTATTAATTGTGTAAATTGAACATTTACACAATTAAATAATTACAAACACTATTTTACATTTTCGCTATAGTAACTAACAATTGAATACTAATTATTTAAATATCAATTAAATAGTATTTTTAAAATAAATAGAATAAATATTTAATTAAATCGAACCGGTCAATGCCTGGTGAGCGAGGGTTTGGGTTGGGGGTAGATAGGCTTAGGGTTTTAAATTAGATAAGGGGCAAACTCGTCATATTTTTTTGTAACTAGCATCGGATCCTACTCGCAAAATTTCAAAATTTCAACTAAAGTTTAAATCCAGCTCCCTGCTAGTTTTTTTAATATTTCTGAGTGATAACAAGAGACGACAAGAGTTATAGAACAAATCTACCCAGGAACCCCTAACAAACGAACCCCTACTGAAGCCACCCAAGAAAATAAAAAGATTCTAGTTCTAGGAGAGACAACAGCAGCGCATTACGCGCCATTCTATGGGCAGCACTGTTGGCGTCCCTAGAAACCACCCTAAACTCTATAAAAATTGATAAGGAGTCTAGAACCCGACGACACTCCCGAAGCACCGGACCTCCTTCCACATGGGACAAGGCTCCTTCCACCACCACATGGGACAAGGCTCTTGAAGCGACTAAGAAGATAGCATCTCTTGCTGCAAGGAGTTCTGCCAGGTAAGGGTTGACTACTCCTTGGTGTCGCACACCGGATGCCACCACCACATGCCAGTTTGAGCCGCGGACAACGAAATATGACGAACACCCTGAATCACCAACTACTGCATCGAAATTGATTCAAAAAAATTGTCTGGTGGATGCATCCAAGTAGGAGGAGGACGGATCGGGAGAGGCGTTCTGGGGAGCGGAGGAGGGGGGAGCAAACTGGAAACTTCGAGGACCTGGTTGTAGAATTGTCTGGCTAGAGAACAGATTGAAGAATGTGGAATGGGGAGATCTCAGAGATCATGACATGTCGCCACCATAGAATAAAGTTAATAATCGGGAATGATTCAATGAAGTTTCTCAATCCCACTAAAGTCCACAGCTTGGTGGCTAGGGGGCATCTGAAGAATTAATGTTTAATGCTCTCTTTTTGTCTCCAGCACACGGGACATCTATTGAGGCAATTAACTCCACGTGTTTGTAAAGCAACCATTGTGGGGAGAATGACACCTAAGTCATTTCCATATGAAGAATTTAAGCTTGGAAGGAACTTGGATGTTCCAACTCTTTTTCCAGATTGTAAGGCAACCACTAGCTGCACATTATTGGAAAATGAAGCTTACGCGAATTGTACTCCTCAATTTTAACTCACCTACACTAAATTGTAATTGTAACAACCGAACTAATTTGTTTAATGTTGCCTCCTCGTAAAGTAAAACTACAAATCTTTCGCCTGTCGTTGTTGAACGCTAACGAGTAGTTATGGGTAATCAAATGAGAGTAAATGAGAAAGAAGGAAAGCGTAACGGTTCAACAACGGTTGACACTGAACGGCGATTCCCTGCCAGGCTGCCACAGCAGGAAAGCCTACTTATTCCAAGAAGCGCAACTTCCCACAAATGAATCCCAACCAGGCAGCCACTACTCGCACCATTCGAGGACCAAATCTCCGGTGACAAGAGAAGGCAGAGCTCCAAAACAAGAAGACAACCTTGAGAAAATGTGCAAAGAATACCCCAATAGGTGACAAGACCTGTAAGCCTTACAAAAAAAGACCATTCTCTAAGATTAGCTCCTAACGGTTGCAGACAATCCTTGCCTGAGATGTATAATTTTATCAATAACAGTCCCACCCATAGACCACAAACATGTCATCTAGATGACAAAGAAGTGTAGTCATGTGGCGACGGCAACGAGGCAAACCAGCGACAAGCGCCGTAACCAGAGGGAAATCACCTCGACCACAGCGACTAACGCTGGTATAATATGATTAGGTGCCGAGAAATTGTCTTCTTTATTCTCGGTGACGGTGCTGGCCACAATAGTAGTCAAACTAATTGAATCTAAATTCGAAAGTAAAGAATCGGGGGAAGAAAAGGAAGCATGATTGGATCTTGGGCAATGCGAGCATAGAGGATCGGGACAAACCCGATTGCATCGTGAAAGACTCCGTATCAGGAGGCGACAGGTGTCTTGCGGGACGGCGACATGGGGCGGAGGATTAGCGGAGCCATCGTCGGCTTTATTGGAGCGTGGAAGACTGAGTATGGCGGTGGGGTTCTTTTGGCATTTGGCAATCACTACTCCGTTATGAAAGATCAGGGATTTCCAGAGGACATGCTTACTTCATGATCTGTGAAGAATTTCCTGGAAACCAAACAGTTTTTTTTTTCTTTTTCTTTTCTAGCTTGTTTAACAATGGCCACCATAAAACAACAAAATCAAATTCAAAACACTTATGGTCATCTCGTCTTTGACCGAGTCGACTTCTCTAATGGCCTTTTTGGCCGCACCGTCGCAATTCTGACTCCGACTCCGCTAATGGGGAAAAGAACCCACCGCCTCCAAGAATAACAATAACATCAACAACTACTCCAAGTTTGACATTGTGAAATCCTACGCCTTCCATTTCCTTCAAACGTTTCCTTGGACTTCCATCAACTTCAAAATGGGCGATGGTAAAATTGCTTATGTTTTAGAAAATTAATAATATGATTTTACAAGGGATTAGAAATATACCTATAATTATGGATACCTATTTGGATTCAGTTTGGTTGGGTGGGTAAAACACAAATTAAATAAAATACCCGGTAGTATTAACAAAATCCGAACCTGAATATTTTATACAATATTTGTATAAAATATTTTTATTTTATTTTAAAATATTCTGTATTCCTAGTATCAGGAAACAGTCTCTTTAATCATGGTAAATCCTGCGTTTAAAACACAGTATATTTTCCTGTGATAATTTGTGCCTATTAATCACGATGAGCACCGTGACTGATACGTAATATTGGAACACATATCCAACAAAATTACTCAATCAGAGACGGGAAGTACACCTTTTACTACGGTAGTTACTTTATTAAAATTGTTTACCGTGACTAGATGTCAATCATCGGCCACAATTTTTAGTACTTGTAGTGACTAGTTATCCCGTGAATAAATATCAATCACTAATCACGACAATTGCCCGTACCAAATTACAAATCATTTGTCATGGTCTTTTTCCCGTGACTACATACAAACCACTATTCTCGGTGTTTCCCGTGAACAATTACAAACCATTGATCACTGTATTTTCCCATGACTGCATGGAGATCACTAAACACGGGATTTTCCACTAGTCACAATATTTTCTGTGATCACATGCAAACCACTGGTCACAATATTTTTCTAAATCAATAGCAACAGATTTTCTCATTACTAATTATAAACCAATTGTATTAAAGCATCAAAGATTCTTGTCAACAATAGTGTAATAATAACAAAGAAAAGAGTTTCAAAGGTAGCTAATAATTCAATAATGGTACAATCTACTTCAATTTCTTGCACTCTTCCCATGTAGTGATCTTTTCCAATCCTTGCACCATAACAACTCAGAATATCTCCAATTCATTTCATGTGGTTACAACGGTCTGTAGTCCATCAACCCTAAAAGCACATCAACAACAAAAGTACATGTGAATTAGCACCATTACTTAGTGAACATGCTTGTAAAATTATTTGAATAGTTTGAAATGAGTAAAGTTGCAACAAAACCTACACCTTTGCAATTTTCACCAATGATATAATCCAATACTATAGGTCTATAACAGTGCCAAATCATATAGAGAGAGTTCCTAGCATTTTCTAATTCCATTCACATTGTTTTCTTTTTTCTAATCCCCTTCATTCTTTGTTAATGAAATAACTACATGCATACATGACTATAACCAGACTCCTCCCTTAAGATATCAATCAAAACACTTGGAGGATTGGATATCCAATTAATTGTTTTATTCCAGGACATCCTTACATGGGTCAGAACATGCACAACCCGAGTTGCTTTTCTACGCCCAAATGTCCAAAAGATTTGTCTTCCTCCTGCTGCCGACATTTCAATCTCCCTCTTTGCCTTCATAATCTCCTCACATACTATCCCCAAGTCTCTGCGATCCTTCACTTCATTCTCCAACTTTCCAACTAAGCACTCACAATCGCTCTCTATCACCACCAAAGTAAATCCCCTCTTTCTTGCCTCCTCTAAAACCTCTTAGTCTGACATCCTCTGGCTTGCAAATGCCCCTTTCATTCTTCGCGAAGCCACCAAGGAGTTGCCCTTTCATTCTCTGAAAACCTCACCCATCCCAATCCATTCGTTCCCCATGAGTCTTGCGTCCACTATATGTGCATGCATGATGCACCATACTGTATTGTATCTGCACTTCCAGGTAATCCTGCACCCAACATATGGCTCTCTGAATTACTTCATCCTCCTCTTTCTTATTAATATTGAAGCAATGGTTATTCCTTTCCCTCCATAAGAACCATAGAAACGCACTAAATCTCTGCAGTTTATCATCAGGGAACTCTACAAATACTTTACCAATCCACTCTAAAGAGGACATATTTGGTCTATTTTCAAAGCAGTCCTTTTCTTGACTTTGCCTCCAAATCCTGCTTCCCCAGCTACATTCCCAAA